CAGAGAGAGAGAGCGAGAGAGAGAGAGAGAGAGAGAGAGAGAGAGAGAGAGAGAGAGAGTGAGAGAGAGAGAGAGAGAGCACGCCAACACCGCAGTGAACGGTGCCGTCTGAGCGCGCCTACCCTCGTGACTCTAGGGCAGGCAGTGCGGCAGAGGGAAGGCGGTCTATGCCGAGGGCGACGTGTACGATGGCGAGTGGGAGGACGACGACTGGCATGGCGAGGGCAAGTACTCAGAGTCGTCCGGGGCGACCTACGTTGGGCAGTGGGTACGGGGCAAGGCGCGGCAGCGAGGGCATCTGTGTCTGTCGCCCCTTCTGCGACGCGTCTCCGTTCACCTTGCTCCACACATTGACCGCAGGAGCATGGCTCCGGATTCGCCAAGTGGTCAGACGGCGACTCCTTCCGCGGCGAGTACCAACACGGCAAGCCGCACGGGCAGGGGACGTGGACGCGCGCAGACGGCTCCTCGTTCACCGGGGAGTGGGTCGAGGGCGAGCGAGTCGGGGAGGGCCGGTGCGAACCCCGACGTACTAGGGACGAGAGGCCCGGTCGTATGATGATAGCGCGTATCGTTCCTCCTAGATTCTCGCCCTCCCCCACCCCCGCCAGGTACATGCGGGCCGATGGCACGGTCTACGCGGGGGAGTGGTGGGTCTCGGACAAGGGCGAGCGAGTCGGACGCGGCCGGATCACGTACAATGACGGCTCCTCATACAACGGGCAGTGGCGCGACGACAAGGACGGCCACCCCGAGCATCTTCCCGCTACCGCGGCCCAAAGGGGAGGCAAGCGCGGCAGGGCGGCGGCCGGAGGCGAGGGGTCTGCGGGCGGGCAGAAGCCGAGGCGGCAGACGAGCAGCAGCAGGTCCCGAGCGACCTCCGCGGCAGCGTGAGCCTTCCTGGCCTTAATTCTCTGTTACACTCTGTGTGTCAGTGTGTCTTCCCCAGCCCTCTTCTGTCGACTCACACAACGCTAAAATGTAAAAACGATTATCAAGTAGTTTCGTGTGAATACAGAACTGCTCTATGTCCTCAGCCTCACTCCCCCCCCCCCTTCTTCCTGATCACGACGCACATGCGCCTTACCTCGACCGACTCTGCCTCTGCCGCGAGCGCGGCGGCGCTCTGGACGCTAGCGTCAAACTCCCTCGCCGCGGCACGTGCCCTCCGCTCCCCTATTCGCGGCCCTCCCTCTGCCTCGAGAGCCTCGAGCGCGCTCACTTTTGCGGCGAGCGCGCTCTCGATCGCCGCCCGGTCGCGCCCGTCTCCCGCCCGCTCACGAGCGGCCGTGGCGTGGGCGACCGCCCGCCGCGCGTGCTCGACTTCCGCGACCGCGGCGGCGCGTGCAGCAGAGACGACACGCTCACGCTCGCGATTGACCTCGGCGGAGCGAGGGTAGCTCTCGTTTGCAACGGCGCCGAGCACGGCACCGAAGGCGCTGGGAGCGAAGAAAGCGCCCGGCTGAACGACATCCTCGATGACGTAAACGCCGCCCGGCAGCAGCCTGGGCCAGAGGAGGCGGAGGAGGCGCCACTGGGAGAGGGCCGTGTGGTCGCCGTCGTCGAGGACGATGTGCAGCCGAGGCAGCCTTTTCAAGGGATAACAGGCGTGAAGAGGCGCGGCTCACGGCGTCGTCCCGCACGCTCAGCCGAGGACCGTGCGACGAGCGAGACGAACGCCTCCGACGCGGTGTCCAACTCGTGAGTCTGCGGCTCGGCAGCGCGGAAGGCGCCCTTCCTGCGCAGCTCCGGGAGGTGCCTACTCGGTCCTCATTCCCATCTCAGTCCCGACTGGGCCCGTCTGCAGGTGCCCGCCCCCTCCACGCCTCCGGAAGCGGGCAAGCGAGCAGTCAATGCCGATGATGCGGGCGGTCGGCCCGAGGTAGTCGGACCACATGGCGAGCGATGCGCCGTACCTGCACATGGCGCGGCGCTGAGAGTGGGGGGAAGGAGGCGGGGAGTGGGCAAGGGTGGGGGGCATCGAGGGCGTACCAGACGCCGATTTCGAGGAGTGTCACGCCCACAAGGGGGCGGAGCGGCTCGAGCAGCGCCGCATAGTGCCTCGTGAAGCCCTGGCCAGCCGAAGTCTTGTCGCCACCGAGGTACTTGTCGCGCCCTGTGGCGGTCTCTTCGATGGTCGCGTAGCGAAGGCCGATCTCGTCCAGCCCGGGCTGGTCGGAGGATGCTGCCGCACCGCCAACCCACCCGCTGGCAGTGTCACCGCCACCACTGTGCCCCGCCGCCGCCGCCTGGATCGATGCCACACAGAGCGCATCACACGCGGCGAGCGCGCGGGCCGAGTGGCGCGTGCCGCCGTCCCGCTGCCGCCTCCTTCGCTCCGCGAGCCACCCCTCCGCCTGCTCACAGCACACAGTATGAACAGCTTCTCTTCAGCCCTCCCTCCGCCCGCAGCCGCCCGCCTCGGCGAGCTCCCTCTCGATGAAAGCGTCGAGGCTCGGCACACGCGGAGCGCTCTGCTGCAGCTCGCCCCGCCGAGAGGGGAGCAGCAGCGCTCCTACAGCCGAGATTCGCCGAGATTCAGCGAGATTTGTCGAGGCTCCTGATGACTGCCGCGAGGGCAGCGGGCGCGCCTAGCGCGGCCCTCATCTCGGCGTACACCGCGTCGCCCTCCGCAGCGCCCAGCGACGAGAGCAGCTGCTGCAGCTGCTGCGGCGGCCAGCGCTCCGCCGCGGGATCGACTTCAGTCGCGTCGTCTTCCGGGCACTCTCCTCCCTCCGCCGGCAGCTCGAGCCGGCCTCGCTCGCGCAGCCAGCGCACCGAGAGGAGCGGCCGCAACACGTGCAGGTACTTTTTGCGCACCGGCCCCTCCTCGCCCCGCCGGCTCGCCCCCGCGATGAAGTCGACGTGGTTGCGCTTGGCGTGGTGCAGCCACGACGCGGCGAGGGCGAGCGCGTCGTAGCGCTCGGCCAGGGCGCGCGCGCCAGAGGCGAACGGCTCAGTCGCCGCATACACGATTGGCGAGCGCAGCGCCTCAAACAGGGTCGGGTTGTTGGACGCGAGCATCGAGGAGGCGTGCCGCAGCTCGTAAGCGACCACGTCCACGGCCGTGCAGCCGGCAGTGGCGAAGGAGGCGGACAGCTTCTTGCGCGGCGCCTCGATCGACAGGTACGCGGCGGGCGGAGGCACAAAGACGGCGACCAAATCGTGGTCCGACCGGCTGTGCGAGGAGCCGATGACGCGGGAGGACACCTCGGCGCAGAAGAGCAGCGCCACCCCGTGCTCCTCCTCGAGCTGCCGCAAGCACGATGCGACCTCGGCTGAGTCCTCCTCGCCAGCGGGCTCCGCGCCACTGCCCCCTGACGATGACGCCGAGCGCACCGGACGGGCCGGAGGGGGCTCGAGGGCGGCGAGCTGCCGGCGGCGGACGGAGAGCAGCCAGCTCGAGAGCTGGCTGACGTCCGCCTCTGGCGGCAGCGGAGGGCCGCGACCCGCGAGCGATGCGACGAGGCGGCCGACCGCTGCCTCGACCTCGTCCAGCAGGTCGAGCTGCGCGGCGAAGGGAGGGCCGCCGAGGCGGCGCGCGGCGAGGATGCGGTCGCGCTCCTCGCCGCGCGACGCCACGTGCAGCGCCTCGCCCGCGACGAGCCTCTGCGCGTCGTACAGCTTGTGCAGCGCGTGGTAGAGGCACCTGCGAGTGGTTGGCAGCGGCACCTGTGAGTCGTGGGCGAGGCACACGCGAGTAGCGAGCGGCCCCCTCGTGCACTTGTTTACGCCCGCCACCACCGAGTCGCTGCAGGCCTGCGGCGGCGAGCCGGCCTGCGCCAGCAGCCCTCGCGCCCGGTGCAGCCGCTCGCGAATCAGCCCGACGTACTGCCCGACTGTGCGCTGGTTGCGGAAGAGCTCCCGCTGCGCGACGAGCTCCGGCCACGGCCAAGCCGCCCGCAGCGCCGCGCCTTCGGGCAGCCAGAGCAGCTCGACAACCTACTCTCGGACGGCCTCGGGTCATCTCGCGTGATTCGCGTCGCAGCCCAGCCAGAGCAGCTCGACCACCCTCGGGTTGCCGCGCGTCAGGTGCTCCACGTAGCTAGCGAGCTCGGTGCCGGTGCACTCGAGCTCTCCGGCCTTGTCCGCGCCGAAGGAGGACGAGCCGTGCGACTCGAACTGCGCGCGTGGCGGGCGGAGCCGCAGCGCCTCCCGCGCCGGCGAGAGGTAGAGGATGGTGTAGTCCTCGTCACTCGCGCCCGTGGCGAGGCCGTAGAGGTGCGAGCCGCTCCGCACAGCCAGCACGACGCTGCGCGGCTCGACCGGTCGGCCGAGCCGCTCGAGCAGGTCGGGCACCGCATCCTTCAACTCCTCAAATCCGGGCGCAGGGGGTTGGGAGGCGCCCGGATGGAGGAGGCTGGCATCGCCGTCGGGGTCGTGCAGAAGCTGGTCGAGCCCGGCCAGCCACTCCTCGAGGAGAGGCAGCCGCGACACCTCGCTCGCGGACGGCGCAGACCGGCTGTGCGTGTCGATGGCGGCGCAGTGCTCTTGCGCCGCGGCGAGCGCGTCAGCGAGCAGGCCCGGCCTCGCGTGCCTCGGCCAGTCGCTAGGCTCGCTGAGGCGCTCGAGGAGAGAGGCGGGCGGGGCGGGACTGCCCGGCGCGAGCCGGTGCCCTTGCCGGAGCAGGGCGACTGCCGTGGCCGCGGCAGCGCGCAGCGCCGGCGGCTCCTCGTCTGCCGCCACTACCGAGCCCGACTGCTTGAGCCGCCCCACCGCCTGGTGCACGCACGCACGCGCAAACAGAGGGCCGGCTAGTGTGTCTTGGTCTGCTTCCGCCGTCAGCCTTTGCCAGCCTGCGTGCTCGAACTCTGGAGCCTGGGCGGCAAAGAGCGCCGAGAGCCATTGCGGGCTTCGCTTGAGGAGGAGCCGTGCGAACTCAGTCGCCTCGACAACCAGCACCGTCCGTCCTGCTGCGAGAACCACCTCTCGCGGTGCTCCGGTGGGCCGCACGCTGCATCCTCCCTGTTTGGCGAAGAGCGCCTCGATAGATGCTGCGTGTCGCGCCGCTGGCGGGTGCCAGACGACAGCCGCGAGAGGATGGTGCTCCGTCCGGCCGAGGAAGAGCAGCGTGCAGCCCGGCAAGCAGCTCACGAAGTCGCGCCACTCTCGGCTCGTGACCTTGAGACGCTGGAGCAGTCCAGGATGGGGCGGGTCCTCGGACAGCATGCGAGTGTGTGCAGGACAGACCTGTCCAGGACCAGGCTCGGGTCTGTGGAGGGCGCGAGTCCTGGCGCGAACAAAAAGAATTTTTCGGACGTGGTGTGTAAATGGGAGTGGGGTGCGATCAAAAAGAATGGACGTAGGGACACATGTGTAAGAGCGCGCACGAGTGGGTGTGCGAGCAATATCGAAAGACAGTGAGGCCAGGATCGCACACGGCAGGGGTGGCGGGACGGTTGTGGAGCGAAGTGGCAGTAGCCAGCCTCAAGCATCGATGGGATAATAAGATGAGATTACCGGACGAGAACGGGGGGAAGGACAGGCGGGCGACATTTGACGACGTCGGGGATCACAATGTGACGACCAAAACGATCTTGGGGGCCAGGGTGAGACAACAGGTCGGGGTGCCACACGGGGCACACCACAGGCGTATTCTAGAGGGGGAAAAGAAACGGGGAACGAGGGGCCCCGCCACGAGAAGTGCGTTCTGGGGATGCAGAGCGTGCAAGGCGGCTAGGGATGAGGCCACAAAAGGGGCGCGCGAGGCAAGGAGGAGACGCGGGGAACTGGGAGACTGGGACGACTGGAAACAAGAAGACAGTGAGCCACCACAGGCGTCGTTGGCGCACATACTGAGCGGCAGCTGCGCTGGAAATAAGGAAGAGGCGCGTCACTTCATGCGGAAGCTCGACAAACACACAGCGAGGGCGACAGCAAGAGTTGAACGGGAGGCGCCGGACTCAAAAGACACCGCCACATTCCTGAGACGAGCGAGGGCAGCCTCCTTAAAGGCGAAAGGGTCTAGATTTGGAGCGCTCGCCGAAGAGGAGTACGACAAAATAGCGCCCGTGATTGCCTGCACGCTACCCGCACTCACGGACTCCATACCCGAAAGAAAGAGAAGGGAGCTCGCGGGAGAGGTGACGAGTGAACTACAGGTAGTGGGGAAGGCAGCCTCGATTGCCATACAGACATGGGTGCGAAACAACGACAAGACCAAGGCACGGGCAGAGGAACGAGAGAAGAATATAGGGTGGATAAAGCGCCTGTTCACGGCATGGAGGGTGAGCCACACCGAACGTACCGAGCGAAGAGCCGAGCGGAAGGAGGACGGGGAAGATGACTCCGAGGAGGACGAACCAGTGGAAATCCAGTTGTCAGATGTCACGATGCATCCGAAGGGGACCCCAGCGCCGGCATCATCCGTAGAGGCACGAGTGTTCGAAGAGAGAGTGGACCTGAGCAACAACATGACCTGTAGGCAAATGATCGGAGTGGGAGTCAGAAATGTGGTCCTTGCGCGAGGGGAGCTCGATAGACTCGAGGGGCCAGGATACGCCGCGAGGAGGACGGAGTTGCGCCGAAAGGCGAAAGAAGCCGCGAGAACAAGGGACCGGCAGGCGGCGGCGTCGCAGGACGAGGCAGAAGAGAACGACGCGACAGAGGAGGAAGTGACAAGGGAGAGAACGACGAGAGTGGGACGACCGCTAGGTGGCATGAAGGTTGCAGCGAGAATCGGCGAGAGACTGCGAAGAGAGATAGGAAGAGGCAGACGACCAAGGGATAGGGTGGGCGACGGCTATCGCACCACACACCTCTCCTTAAAATCCCTGTGTGGTGGCGGCGTGCCGTCCTCCCATCCCTCCCTTTGAGTTGTCTGTTTTCTTTCTTTCTTTTTCAGAAAGAATTTTTATACTATGTACCACTGGGACCCTCGCACAACACTACGATACGGTGTCTGTCTACGCGCGCGAGAAGAGAGACCCTGTGCGTGGCACCGCGGTGTCACATCGATGTTGGCTCCGCGCTCTGGTAGCTCTTTTCTTTTGGGTCCTGTGGGCTCCGCGATCCATGCCTTCCGGGACAGGGTGGCCCGCCACAACGACCCCTGGAATTGCGACTCGCCGCTTTCCTCCCGCTGTGATCCTGTGTGAGCTCTCCTCTGTGTCTTGTGCTCCAACCAAGAGAAAGAAAGAAAGCAGCCGCACTACGAGAGGAGGGCGATGCCGAAAGAAAGAAAGGGCGATGCGTGCTGCAACGGCGCCCGACGACCAAATTTTTTTACTCCGCTCGATCGAGGCGCCGTAGTTGATAGCAATGTCGTTCCGTCGCTTCACGCCACCTGACGCGAGATCGACGCGCCGTGGTAGGAGCCAGCTGCTCGGCGGCACACGCCGTCGCACGACGCTGACCATCGCAGCCCTCCTCGCGATCTGCTATACGTTGTTGACGTGGCCAGCCGCCGCCGCGCCTCTGCCCGGCTTGCATCTCGAGCCACGCGCCGCGCAGCTCGAGGAGCGACGATACGCGTGCATACAGGGTCAGTGCAATGTCTGCCGCTTCGGTGCCGGACACCTGCGCGGTCGCGAGGCGCTTGAGTCAGAGAAGTCGCAGCAGCGTGTCAATGGCACCTTCGTCTCTGCGGCGCAGCTTTCGGCAGAGGGCGTGCGCTTCTTGCAGGTCGGTGGCGACTGGTGGAACAAGTGCGGCGACGGCTGGCTCAATGCGGACATGGTCTTCACGCGGCTTCCGAGCGGAGTGGTCTGCGAGGACTGGCGGACGGGGCGGCTCATCATGCGGCTCGTCGCCGGGCAGGGGCTGCCCTTCGCCGACGGCTCCTTCGACGCCGTCTACTCGGAGCACATGTTCGAGCACATCCTGCCGCGGGACGGTAATAGTACGCCACTCCCGAGACACTTTCTGGTCGTTGCCCGCGCCATGGCTGCTGCGCCGGGCCCAGAGCCGCTGCTGCACTTCTCCTTCTCGCAGCCTGTGCACCCTCGAAGCACCTCGCCGCGCCCCCTGTCGTACCTCGCAGGCGCGGCCTTCCTCGCGGAGGCGTACCGCGTGCTGCGCCCGGGCGGCGCTCCTTGCCCTAGATGCGGAACACATTGGCAAGGAGTATCTGAGCAACTCCAGAAGAGGCACACGCGTCATTCAGCCACACTCAACAGCCGCGGTCTTGAGCGGTCGACAGGCATCCTCCGAATCACGACGCCCGACTTGGACAAGTACATGCGGGGCTACGTCAACCGCGAGACCGACCCCTTCCTGCAGGAGCACGCGAGGCGACGGACCACCCACGGACCACCCGCGGAAGGGCTGGGGAGAGAGCCGTCAGCACCCGAGAACCGCCCGAGGTAGGCGCTTCCCACCGATGGGCGGGCTGGGCGAGCCCGCCTCGGCAGCGACGGTCATCAACAACATCTTTCGCAACTACGAGCACCGATGGATCTACGACTTCGACGAGATGCGGCGCGGCCGCCGTCGGCCAGTGCGGGACCCACTGTCGTGGAGCAGTGACTCACATTTCGCGTCCCTGAGTTGGAGTAGGCACGGCTGGGCCCTGTGCGGGGCCCTGGCTCGAGCCTCACACCCACGAACCTTCTCGGAGCATTCCTCCTCTAGGCGGGCGGCCGCACTCGCCGGCGTCCCCCCCGCCGCCGTCCGCCGCTCGCGCCGGCTGGGCGACGACCTGCCCGCCTTCTTCCTCGAGGCGATCAAGGCGACCGAGGCGACGGGGACCGCGCGGCATCAGGCGGGCCGCCGCGAGAACCCGACCCGCTGCTGGCTGGAGCAGGAGGTGCGTGAGGGCGAGAGCCTCTACGTCAGCATCGTGAAAATGTGACGCACGGGCGGGCGGGGGGGCGTTGGCTTGGGGTTTGGGCGTCGGCGGGCGGCGCGGCGAGAGGGTATGGCTATGGGGTGTCGGTTTGTGGTGCTCATAGGACACTCACGTTAAGTGCTGTGCGATGTTGTAAGGATCTTGGAGCACTTGGAGTGCAGTTGGTGTAGCCTCACATCCAGGGCCGGCCGAGAAGCACCCTTGGGCACTTGGACCCGTGTATCGCGCGCCTTGCGGGGGGGCGCAGAAAAGAGGAACCTCTTAGCGCCATCGCCATGGGTGCTGCAAGCAGCGCCGGGCGACGACGACTTACCGCCTCCCGGTCCCCCTGCAAGCGTGGTCCGCGCGCATGGCAAAGAAAGAAAGAAAACGGTCAACCCAAGGGAGGGATGGGAGGACGGCACGCCGCCACCACACAGGGATTTTAAGGGGAGAGGTGTGGTGCTAGCCGTCGCCCACCCTAACCCTTGGTCGTCTGCCTCTTCCTATCTCCCTTCGCAGTCCCTCGCCGATTCTCGCTGCAAGCACCAAGCTTCTTCAAACTTGGAGCACTTGGGGTGCCGAATTCGCAATCTTTTTTTTACGCGTTCTGGTCGGCGCCGCGCGCGCGAGGCGCTCGGTGGTCACCGCATTCCTGTCCCACGAGTGGATGTGCCCTTCACCGACGCTAGCCTTGACGCTCTGCCTCCTCCTTTCTGGCAGCCACGCCCTCGGACCGCGCGTCATCTCGCAGGAGGAGATCCTCACGGTGGTGGACGACTGGCTGTACGCTGTCGACGAGGACGAGGACGGCTCTGTGAGTGAGGCCGAGGCGCCGGCGCTGCTCGACCTTCTCAAGCAGGGCTCCTCCGCCATGGGCGCGGAGAACTTTGGCGTCGACGTCCTGATGCGCATGGCGGACGGCGATGGCGACAAAGTCGCGAGCAGAGCGGAGCTGATAGACTTCCTGAAGCGGATGAAGGCGACGCGCTGCAGCCAGGCCCTCCCGCACGATCGCCGTCGCGTGAGCAGCACACCGCCACCCCGCGCAGGATTTTGACGGCGGACACCTCAAGAGGGAGCAGGCCAACAAGCCGCCGCGCGACGCGCCAGAGGCGCCCGCAAGCCCGGATCCTCGCCACCCTCCAGCCCTCTCACGAAAGAGTCCCCTCTCTCCGTGTAGGCCCCCACCTATGGCGAGTCGCACGAGGAGCGGATGCGCGTCAAGCGAAAGCGAAAAAAGGCGAACAGTAAGACGCGGCGCGGTGCAGCCAAGGATGAGGTGTGAGCGGTGAGATCGTTCCTGTCAGTAAGCGTGGCGCGTCAGTGGCAGCGTGAGCCGTGACCAATGTGTCACACGTGCAGTGTGTGGTTGGTAGAAGCGCGTGAGCGTGGTGACGCACAAACTTTCTTCTTTTCAGGCATCAAGCATTTTTTTATGCTGAAGGGAGTATCTAAATGTGTGCTGGCGCGCGCGCGTGACTGGAGAGTGCGTCTACCGCGCTGCCCACACTCGAGCGCCCCCACACGCACCACAACGAGTGTGGCTCCACACCCGCAACATGTCAAGACCCCACATCGAAGACGCTCTCGTCCTCGTCCTCGTCCTCGTCCTCGTCCTCGTCCTCGTCCGCCTCGGCGCACACTCTGCCGTCCGACAGGTTCTCCTCCGAGAAGAAGGCCTACGACACGCCACCGGACCTCTGAAGCGGCGCCGCCCGGCCCTCGAAGCAGCAAGGCCGACGCTGCGCTAGCGGGCCTCCCCCTCCGCCTCTGCGCTCGCGCCGGCGGCGGCGGTGCGCGGCGTTCGCACCTTGCAGCGAGAGCCGAGATGAGCCGAGAGGAGCCGAGATGAGCTGAGATGAGCCGAGATGAGCCGAGATGAGCCGAGATCCCGGCGGCGGCACGAGAGGCGCGTCACTAGACCCGAGAGAGTCCGAGACTGTCCGAGACTCCGAGAGACTCCGAGAGAGTCTGAGTGAGTCCGAGATGGTCCGAGATCGTGCGAGACTCGGCACCTCGCGCGCGCGCTGCACCCCCTCGTTGCGCCTCATGCACGCGTTGACAGACGTGGCGCTGAGAGGCTCGGACCCGCCTGGTGGCGCCGATGAGGGCGAGGGGTGAGGGGTGAGGGTGAGGGTGCGGGTGCGGGTGAGGGTGCGGGTGCGGGTGAGGGTGAGGGGTGAGGGTGAGGGCGAGGGGTGAGGGTGAGGGTGAGGGTGAGGGTGAGGGTGCGGGTGAGGGTGCGGGTGCGGGTGCGGGTGCGGGTGAGGGTGAGGGGTGAGGGGTGAGGGTGAGGGGTGAGGGTGAGGGTGAGGGTGAGGGGTGAGGGCGAGGGTGAGGGTTGGGAGCAGGGTCGGGGCGAGGGATCGGGACAGGTACCCGCCTGTGATGCCGACCGCGGCGGCGCCGCACGCGCAGCCGTACACCAGCCCGCGCTGCACGTCTCGCGACCCGCACCAGCCGAAGAGGAAGCCGGCGGCGAAGGCGTCGCCGCAGCCGGTCGTGTCCTTGACCGCCCTCTCCTGCGCCCGAGACGCGCCCGAGATAGAGCCGGGAGACGCCCGAGATACACCCGAGATACACCCGAGATACACCCGAGATACACCCGAGATACACCCGAGATACACCCGAGCTGAAGGGGTGGCCGAGCCCTCGGTGGCCTCGCGCCTGGTTTGGCTGGAACCACCACTGTTGCTCCGTCGCGGCCACCGCGCCGTCCGGTCCCAGCGTCACCACGACGAGTGGCGCGCCGCGCGCGTGCAAGCGCCGCACCGCCTCCGAGATCTCGTACCTACACAGTCTCCCACTACTCTCCCACAATCTCCCACAATCTCCCCCTCCGAGATCTCGTACCTACACGCACAACTCTCCTCCTCCTCCTCCGCCTCGCCCCTTCCCCACTGGCGCGCCGCCAGCCCCGCTCGCGCACCATGTCGCGCGTCGGCCGGCGATGGCGACGCCGGCGATGGAGGCGGCCTCGCGCTGGTTGCAGAGCAGCACGTCTGTGTGCGGGAGCAGCTCGAGGAGCCCCCCCTCCCAGGCGCCTGCGGTCAGCGAGATGAGCCGAGGTGAGCCGAGATGAGCCGAAGTGAGCCGAGCCGAGCCGAGGTGAGCCGAGATCAGACCAGCTCGAGGGGCCCACCCTTTCTCCCACCACGAATCTCCCACAACCTCCCACGAATCTCCCACAATCTGCCCACTCGCCTGTCGCGTCCGTCTGAGGCACAATCGAGACGGTCGCACCGCGCTCCGCCTTGGCTCGCGCCATCAGCCGAGGCACCTGCAGGGAAGGGTCCGAGAGGTGAGAGGCCGGGGCCCCACAGCCGCCCCTGACACGCCGCCGGCCGCGGCACCGCCGGCTGCAACCCGGAGCAGTCGTAGTAAGCCGAGAAGTGGAGGTGGCTGGTGCCTGGGGAGAGATGGGGAGAGATGGGGAGAGAAGGTCAGGGCCGAGAAGTGGAGGTGGCGGGTGGCTGGGGCGTGGCGGGAGAGAGGGTCCGAGGAGGCGCCAGAGAGGGCGCGCGCGAGGGCTCCGACAAGAGGGGGCGTGAGGCCTGGGGCGAGCAGTCGGCCCACGTCCAGGTCCGCCTCGCTCAAGTCTGCGACGGATCCTTTGAAGGAGACAAAGGCGCGGTCGCGGCTGCGGCGGGCGAGGGGGGAGAGGCGTCAGGCGTCGGCTCGAGAGGAGGGCTCCTCGAGAGAGAAGAGAGGGAGGGCTTCACGGCGGGGTGGCGAAGAGACTCGCCGCCGTCTGTGCCGAGTGCCTCTCTGCGACGGGGGTCTCTCTGCGGCGGCGTCGCGCCGTCCCGACAAGCAGATGCAGACGCCCTGCCCGCCCTCGCGGCGCGCAGAGAGGGTCACCCCGGCCTCGCGGGTCTTGGCGGCGACGAGCTCGCCTGCGGGCGTGCGGTGGCGTCAGTGGAAGGGAGTCGTGCTCGCCAGTGGCTGTGGAGCTGCCAGGCGTCGTAGAGAGAGGGAGATTGATGGGCAGAGAGAGGGAGGCGGGCGGGCGGGTGGCGGCGCGGGTCGAGGCGGCGCGGGTCGAGGCGGCGCGGGAGGCGGCGTCTGCGGCGGTGACGCTGGTGGCGTGGGCACGGGTGGTCTTGGGCTGGTGGCGCTCGCCGTAGAGATCGGACCCCACCCGGGAGTGGAGCACGCAGCGGCGGAACGGCCGCGGCTGGTCGCGCTGCCGGCGAGTGCGGCAGAGAGCCGAGAGCTGCACCGCCGTGTTGAGTGCGGAGCCGCCCGCAACGGTCTCGATCGGGCTCCGGATCGCCGTGTCTCCGTCCCACTGCGGGAGCTCGTCGATTTTGGCGATGATGTCGAGGTACGCGTCGCCGACGACCTGCACGGTCGAGGGAGAGCCGAGGCCGAGCAGGGACGTCGCTAGCGCGCGGAACGGTGCGAAGCTGAGCAGCATGCGGTGCTGAGGTGCTGAGGTGTGAGCCAGGCGTGAGTCGAGCTCCAAGGTTGGCCGACTCTCCGAGCGGCGAGGCTCGACGCTCGCTAGCTCCAAGGTTGGCCGACTCTCCGAGCGGCGAGGCTCGACGCTCCTGCTGTCGGCGACAGCATGAAAAAGAATTAATCGGTTCGGGTTGTCTGTTTGTGTGTGACACGACGTTTGGGTTGTCTGTTTTCTTTTTGTGTGTGACAGTCCGAGGGCCCAACTTGAGAATCGTGCTTTGAGTTGGGTTGTTTCGTGTTGGGTTGGGTTGTGGTTGGGTTGGGTTGTTCCGCGTGAGGTTGGGTCGTCGGCGCGAACGAAGGGTGAGGTCTCGACCGCCGCCGCTCACGCCAGCGGACGGCCACTGCCGGTGTTTTTGGCTTCGCCACCGTCCAAGGCGTGCGCCATGCGCTCGCCGGCATCGAGCGAGCAACGTGATCGACCGAGCGGCTTGCTGTGTGGTCGCCTTCTTGTGGCTCTCGTCGAGAGCGTTTTGCGTCCCGGCGGGTGGGAGAATGTGTGTCGTCTGAAGTGTCACTGTGTGCGTCATATCGATGTGGATAACAAGCACGGTCGATCCGTCGAAGCGATACACTCGTTCCTATCACGCTGGAAGGCTTGCACGGAGCTCTGTGCCGGCACACAGAAGAGCCGTGCGGCAAGAAGAGCTCGATGGGGAGCGAGAACCGTCAGATTTTCAGGTGTAGCCTGAAGTCCGTCGCGACGCACTCAATCCCTCCCGAGCGAAAGCCTGTGGCTCTCTCGAACTCGTCGATATATTGCGAATAAACTGCTCTTCCCGCATAGCTTGCAGAGTCAGAGGCGCAGAAAGGCTACGAGTGTTCGACGAGTCTTGCGAGCTGCGCGGTCAAACCTGGGGGGGACTGACCGCATCAAGGCGGACTTCCGAAACCTGGGTGAGCACCTCTGGCAGTTCTCGCTCCCCATCGAGCTCTTCTTGCCGCACGGCTCTTCTGTGTGCCGGCACAGAGCTCCGTGCAAGCCTTCCAGCGTGATAGGAACGAGTGTATCGCTTTGACGGATCGACCGTGCTGTCCTCCACATCGATGTGACGCACACAGTGACACATCAACGACACACATTCTCCCACCCGCCGGGACCCAAAACGCTCTCGACGAGAGCCACAAGAAGGCGCCCACACAGCAAGCCGCTCGGTCGAGTAGTGTTACGCCT